ATGAACCCATGGTTGGTTCGGATCACTGTCCAATGAGATTGGAGATGATGGGCGGGCAGTCTAATAAGAGAGCTACTTTCAGGTTTGATTACCGTTGGTTTGATTATGATGAATGTGAGTCCATCATTAAAAGAATTTGGGATAGTGGTGGAGACCATCAATCTAATCTAGCCAAGTGTAGCCGTGAGCTTGGGATTTGGAGTAGGAGTAATGTGTCTAATGCGGCAGCAAGAATTAAAATTATTGAGGATCGTCTGAAAGTGATCCTCGAGTGGACTCGAATGCCGGTCTATGAAGAAGAAGAGAGGGTTCTGAAGATTGAGTTAAACAAACTCTGGGCGGAAGAAGAAATCTTTTGGTTACAACGATCGAGAATCCAATGGCTTGGCAAGGGAGACAAAAATACAAGTTTTTTCCATAGCTCCACAATTCAAAGAAGCATTAAGAACAATGTGGTTAAACTTTTGGATGAAGGTGACAACTGGATTGAAGAGAAAGGTCCCCTCCACGACCATGTGATGAATTTCTACATTGACCTCTTTAAGAAAAGGGAGGAGGGCTTTAACTTTAATTTGATCCGTGATATTCCTTGCATGGTGGATGATCACATCAACCAAGCACTCTGCAAACCTGTTGATGACATTGAGATCAAGGAAGCAGTTTTTGATCTAGGTTCCTCAAAGTCACCCGGACCGGACGATTTTCCTGGGATGTTCTACAGAAGATATTGGGACACTGTGGGTCAACAACTGTGTGATGAAATTAAAGTCTTCTTCTCTGAGGGAAAAATGGAGCCAGGTTGGAATGATACTCACTTGGTGCTCACTCCAAAAATTCTTAATCCGGAAAGAATCTCCCAGTTCAGACCAATTAGCTGCTGCAACTTCAGATACAAAGTGATATCTAAAATCATGACATCGCGACTGAAGGAATGGATTCCAAAGCTTGTATCTGAAATGCAATCAGCGTTCATGGGAGGTAGATCTATCCAAGATAACATTGTTATTGTCCATGAGGTGATGCATCACTTTAAAACAAGACCGAAAGGTGGGAAGTGGGATATGATGTTGAAGCTCGACATGAAAAAAGCTTTTGACATGGTTGACTGGGATTGTCTTAATGAGATCCTCAAAGCTATGGGGTTCTCGCAACAATGGTGCTCGTGGGTCAGAATCTGTGTTCGTTCTGTGAGATTCTCAATATTGTTCAATGGCCAGCCTTCACCATTCTTTGAGCAGTCTAGAGGCATTCGTCAGGGAGATCCTCTTTCGCCCCTCCTTTTCATCTTACTGACCAATGCCTTAGCTTTCCTTATCAATAAGAATGTGGATAATGGTTGTATCCAAGGAGTGACTCTTAATCCTTTCTGTCCTAGGCTCACTCATGTATTGTTTGCAGATGATACGATCTTGTTTGGGAAAGCCTCGATGTCCGAAGCAATCACAATAAAAAATATGATCGAGGACTATGGGAGTATGACAGGTCAATTGATCAATAATGATAAATCAGCTATCACCTTTAGCTCAAATGTACCTGAGGCCCTCAAGACATTGTTAGCTGACTTCATGAGCATTCCCCGGTCTGATGGAATGGGCAAATATCTGGGTGTTCCAATGGAATGGGGTAGATCGAAAAAAGAAGTCTTTACAGGTCTTATTGCCAGAATGGAAAAGTTGGGTCAATCTTGGAAAAGTTTGGCTCTCTCTCAAGCTGGCAAAGAGACTCTTCTCAAGGCTGTTTACCAGAGCTATCCTACCTACTTGATGTCATGTTTCCTCATCCCCAAAGGTACAACAAAAATCATGGATGCTAGGTTGAGAGCCTTTTTCTGGGGAGGAAATATGGACAAAGGTACAATCCATTGGAGGAAAGGAAGCGTCCTTACAGCATCTAAACAGGAGGGAGTAATGGGTTTCAAGAACTTCCATCAATTCAACCTGGCTCTTCTTGCTAAACAAGGATGGAGAATCCTTAACGGGGAGAACGAAATCTGGGTTAGTCTCCTTAAAGGCCTTTATTTCCCTCATTCTGAGTTTTTGGATGCAGGTAAAGGAAGGAAACCCTCATGGATTTGGTCAAGTATCTGCGAAGCTAAAGAAATCCTAAAACTGGGGGCAAGGAAGAATATGGGCAATGGGAGGAATATCGTTCTTGACAAAGACCCTTGGATCCCAGGTTTACCAGGTTTCAGGCTTCAGAATAACCAAAGACATCAACTGAGAGCTTTCGATTGGGTGATGAATGATGGGAATGAATGGAATTTGGATATTATTGAGCAATCCTGTCTTCCAGAAGAAGCTGAGGCAATCAAGAGGATCCCTATTGGCCCAAGTGATACGAAGGACTCATGGGTGTGGCATCCGGAGAATTCAGGGGCTTTTTCTGTTAAATCTACTACCACGTTTTCAGAGCATATGAAAGGACTAGGACCGGTTCTGACGACCCTAACCATCCTGACTGTTCTGTTAAAGCTTGGAAGTGTCTTTGGAGTTTATCCCTCCCGCCAAAGATCCTCATTTTCATTTGGAGGACCACCAGGAATGCAATGGCAACAAATAGGAATCTTTGGTTCCGGAAAGTGATTAACTCTCCTTCCTGCATGCTTTGTGATGGTGATTTCGAGGATGTGTGGCATTGTCTCTTTGGATGCCCCCATGCTATCCTCGTCTGGCAGGAGGGCTTTGCTGATCTCCCTCTCCCTCCAAGTACCCTCCCGATCCTTATGTGGCTCTTCATTCTTCATGACGTGATTTCCTTCAACTCTTTAGTGGCAGTGGTGGCTCAACTGTGGGCGGTCTGGAATGCTCGAAATGAATGGGTGTTCAAGGGTGTCCGTCCGCAGCTTCGAACAACCTCTGCCAAGGCGTTGGGTTTCTTCACTGATTGGATTTCCTGTGAAGCAACGATGGCTTCTTGCTCTCCTCCTCAGCCTATTCCACCCCGTACAATCCTTAGTCTACCGCCTAGTTATTTCCAGCTGGAAATATACTGTGATGGAGCTTTCGTCTCGGAATCAAAGGTGGCGGCTTATGGTGTTGTTGTTCGTAACCATCATGGACAAGTGATTGACGGAAAGGCTGGGACCCTGTTTTGTTCATCAGCGATTGTCGCGGAAGCGAAGGCTTTATTGGTTGCACTGAAGATGGCTCAAGATTCTGTTTGCTCTACGATTATCTTCTCTGACTGTCAAATCATCATCAACATTCTGATTGATCGGAGCAATTCTTGGCCATGGCAAGTGAAGGCTTGGATCCACTGTATGAAGCAAACTCATTCTCAAAACGATCATATCAAGGTGGCTTTTACGAACAGAAGGAACAACAAATGTGCTGATTGGGTTGCAAAAGAAACTATGAGGGGTTCTCTTCCTTCTGAGTGGATCCAAATTCTTGACTTGGTCTCCCCTTTGCTGTAATAGGCTATGCTTGTACTTCAATCGTTTGATGAATAAAATCTCACCAATTGTCAACAAAAAAAAAAACTCGTTGGGCACGAGATAGAAGGAAAACACCTAGTTTTGGGAATATATAAGTAACAAATAAGGCATTCTGAGTGCCAGCCAGCGCGTGGCCTGGTCGTTGGTTACGTTGTGTGTACCCCATGTTTCATTTATCTGCGCATGTGTGTTGTTTAATTGGCACCCAACTAAAAGGTTTATATTGAAAGAGATTTGTTGAGAAATGTAGATAAATAGCTGATTTTAAAATTTATTGACTATCTATGTAAACAAATGACAAGGGTAGCAATTATCACGAGTCGGTTTGAGTATTCTCATGTGTAACCATTCAAACTCGCACCCAACTACAAGGTTCTTATTTTTGAAATTCACACTCGCCAATAAAATTGAATTTTCTCAAATATCACTAGTCGGTTTGAGTATTCTCATGTGTAAATAACTCTAAGACTATCAATTAAGTTATGCAAGTGATGATATCGACAGTGATCATTCAAAAGAACAAAACGTTAATGATTGGAGCAAAACTCGCCAACATTGAGTAGATATGGTATGGATTTATTTAGTTGGTGCGGCATTGGGTTCAATTGTGATCATGCTCAACAAAAATGAAAAAGACAAAGAAAAAAAAAATACTAAAGAGGATGAACCTCGGTCCCGATATAAAACTCGTGGTAGCCACCTTGGGAAAGGATGGTGGGTAACAACTTAGGTTTCCGCCGACGGTATTTCGAAATGAGTTGCAAAATGGTGGGCAAAGGCGGTCATTTGTGTTCAAGTTATGATACCCATGTGTTTGGGTTCAATTGTGATCATGCTCAATAAAAAGGGGAAAAAGAAAGAAAAAATACTAAAGAGGATGAAACTCGGTCCAGATACAAAACTCGTGTTAGAGGCCTTGGGAAACGGTGGTGGGAAACAATTTAGGATTCTACCGAAAGTATTTCGAGATGGACTGCAAAATGGTGGGCCAAGGCGATGATTTGTGTTCAAGGTAGGATACCCATGTGTTTGGTTTAATTACTCAACAAAAAGGAAAAAAGGGGAAAAAACACTAAAGAAGATGAAACTCGGTCCCAATACAAAACTCGTGGTAGCGCCTTGGGAAACCGTATTGGGGAACGGCAAAGGCGATGATTTTTTCAAAAAATCCATAGACGAAAACCTAGCAAACAATAACTAAACACAAAGGCGATGATTTGTGCAAAAAGTCACAGACGAAAACCTAGCGCAATAACAAAACACAAAGGCGATGATTTGTGGAAATAACCATAGACGAAAACCTAGCGAACAATAACTAAACACAAAGGTTATAGAATGGAGAGTGAGGTAAAAGAAAGAATTCGTACTTTCCCACTTGCACTAAGTGGAGTGTGAGAGCCACTATTGAATAGTAACTCAAACCTAGGCTTTTATATATTAATAATTAGTAGTTTGGTCGAGAAGGAGAGAAACAACATTTAGTAGAAAAAATGTCTCGCTTCGTGTTGGACTCCAACAATCTAAGGCTGCTTGCCTTAAGCGACCGCACGATGAGGGTAACGGGCTGTACTCCCCGGACATCAACACCCAGGACGTGTCCGGCTACGTGGGCGATTGGAAGCAAGTGGCTCGGATCGGCAGCAACCAGCACTGCACCAACCGCGAGCTGGAAGTGTTCGGCGTGGCGTTGATCAGCGGGCAGAAGCTGGAAGAGCTATGCCTCAACACCTGCAACCACCAGCTCACCATCAACAGAGAAGGCTTCATGGTGCAGTGGCTCAACCCCGGTGGCGGCCGCAGGGTCCCCAACGACAGGAGCCTCTACCGCCGCCTCAACGACGTCTTCGACTTGTCTAGGTCAGTGTGGTGGATCTAGGGGTAGGCCTCCTCGGATTTCGGCCCAACCCTTTTGTGGGTCCAGAGCTAATATAGTAAACGAGAACTGTTTGTTTTTGTTCCTTTTCCACCTCTATCGGTTCAGTATTAGTCTGAATCCGTCGTTGGTCCAGGTACGGCGTCCAGGTCCCCATCCCGGTCCAGACGTTGTGGGACCGATTCGAGCTCGCCATTTGGAAGCTGATCATTGCTAGGGGCGCGGGCACCCCGCAGATGAAGAAGGAGCTGGAGGAGAAGGAGAAGGAGAGCCAGAAGGAAAACACCTAATTTTGGTAATATATAAGTAACAAATAAGGCATTTTGAGTGCGTCGATTGTGTTTTTGGCACCTAGACAGTACTGTGTCGTACTTTAGAATGACGTCATTGGCTCTCCTCCCTCTCGGTCTGATATTGGGTTGGAGAGAAATCAAGATCTCCCTCCATTTTCCTTCTTTCACTCCCGAGTTTTGCTAGTTGCTAGGTTATAATTATAGCTGATCCTTTTTAGGCAGTTTCTTCTTCTCCTTCCCATTTCGGTGCTTCTTCTCTCTCAATTAGCCATTATGCTACTTCTTCTTCCTTCATCGTTTCTCCACAATATCTTATACAACTTTTCCATGTGTTGTTGAGGAGGGTTTATAAATAAGAGGTCGATGATATGATTTAATTTGCTTTATAAACTGGTAATTGAATACATGGTTATATAGAAATAGAAAAGGAAATATAAAATACAAATTTATACATTTTAGCCGATAGTAAGATATTTTGTTATTTTTTCCCTCCCAACGCTCTGACGTGCCTAGGTCAACTAGACAGAACTCCAATATCTATCTTACATCTAAGAGCATCTCCAATGGTGCCATCTACATGCAATTTCAAGTGTGGTCCCTACTACCACATCATCAACTTTAACAATTATCTCACTCATAATTTTCATACAACCTACATCAATGTCATCCACTTGCAATTGTAGGCCCTACTTACTTTTTAATACAAATCAATATTCATATTATCTCCACCATTTTACTAAAATATTGTAATAGCCTTTCAACTTAAATTAGCAACTTCCTATAACTAATTTCAATTAAAGTCAATAAATATAATTATAAATTTAATGTTACTAATTATATAAAACATTTTATGTATTAATTAGTTGTCTTAACGTGTTTAGTGTGTTTTCTTTTCAATTTGTACTTTGCGGATGTAATACTTTAAAGTATATATGAATCTTTAAGGTTTGTTTGTAGTATTGTTTTATTTATACAAAAAATGTTCATCGTTACCATTAACTAAATACATATACATATGTGTGTATGTGATAGGTAGGATAGAAAGAAATATATATATACAACATTTAATTGGTGGTGGAAGGAAGAAAAAAAAAACAAATGAACAAGAAAGAAAAGAAATTATCAAAAAAAAAAAAAGACAAATTGGTGGGGCCCTGTTGCAATTGCATACCAATTTGCATGGTGTGCAAATTTGCACCATTTGCAAATGATGCCATATCAATGCAAACCATTTCTCATTTCATCCCTCTGCCACGTTGGCTTGCAATTCACCTCATTTGCACCACTGGGGTGCTCTAATGATTTATTGAATCTTTATTATGCATGCAATTACACTACAAGAAAATAAGATTTTGGAGACAAAGGTTATTTGCGCCTAAATGTCACTTATTTAATTTTGTATGTCTTTGGATGTAAATATGTTATTTGAATCATTTGCATCTGTCCCGGATTCATTTTGGAGACAAATATAGATACAAATAGTATGTACCTCAAATAATAAAATTAGAAGCAATTTTTTTTTCGAGTCATCTATATATGCTTTTAAAGAACTTTAAAGAGACATATATATTTGTCTCCGATAAACATGTTTAGAGGCAAATAGTTTTATCGTCGTTTCTACTTTTAGATGCAAATAATCTCCTATCATAATTGTCTCCAAATACTTGAACACATAATTCATATTGGTCATAATTCATAAGCATAAGATTATTTTAATTATTTTTTATTTAATTATATTAATCAAATGCATAAGTACATTATTCGTAAAAACACATAAAAATAAATAACTTCTTTCTCTGTAAGCTTTAATCTTCACAAGTAACCATCTCACAGTGGAACATATTTCTCTGTCAAGCTTCCTAGAAACATACATGTCCACACAAAAAAAAGTTAAATTGACGTTTTTTCTGCGGAAAGGGAGAGAAATGAGATGAGTGACATCTCAGACATGCCTTTCCAAGTCAGATTGATGTGGACCCGCATCATTTGTATTTTGATGTAAAAAGAACGGACTAGCGTGAGACTGGTGCAGAGACGCTGCGTTCCTTTTAAAATGCGCTGACAGATTCACTGAACTTTGACCAGCGGGCCCGCATTAGTCTCATGCGGATTCGCGAACTTTTTAACCCCACTCCGACATATATATCTGTTGAAAATAATAAGGTTTAATCATAAACTAAACTATCAGAAACACCTAGAAGGAAGTAGGTGCTGTGTGTAGAATTGTGTAGAAGGAGAAATAAATATTGTAGTTGGGTTAGTTGTATGGATTAAACTAAAGCAAAAAAAGGGAGCCATAGACGTAAGGCGGTTGGGCTTAGATATTTGTAACTGGAAGTGCCTATAAAAGGTTTGGGTTAGGCGTTGATGTATAGCAGAGCCAAAGAAAAGCAAGAAGCAAAGCAAAAGGCAATAAAGAAGTCTCCATTCTCAAAACTCCTCTGTTAAATTCCTTGTCCCATTTAATTAAAAGCCTCTCCCCATTCTAAACAAAACAAAGCTCTATACGAGTTGCCCGCCAAAGTTCCCATTTCATTTAGTCCATATATGTGCCCACCATTAGCCAAAGGAAATAAATTAATTTTATTTCCAACAAAGTAGTATCAGAGTCCGAGTCATTTATAAGTATGCTCTGTGGTTGCAGCATAGTTTGAACTTCCACATCAGAAAAGAATTTCTCATGTTTTTGTTATCACGATTGTCCCGTGGCCGATAAATCCACTTTCCCCATTCAATTTCCCCACCTTACCAAAACCAATTATAAAAATTGGTGCATCCGTATGAGAGCCTTACTGGGATCCCAAGATGCATGGGATATTGTCGAGAAAGGTTACGAGATTCCCGCGGAGGATTCTCGGTTATCTCCTGCTGAAAAGGAGGTATTGAGAAAAAATAGAAAGAATGATCAAAAGGCACTCACTCTAATCCATCAATGTCTTGATGAATCAATGTTCGATCAAATAGCAGATGCTACCACAGCAAAGGAAGCATGGGAGATTTTGCAAAAGGAAATGCAAGGTGTGGAACCAGTGAAGAAGGTTCGACTTCAGACACTAAGGGGAGATTTTGAATCTATGAAAAATGAAGGAAGGTGATTCTATTTCAGATTACACCGCTCGTGTGAAGTCTATCGCCAGCAAACTGAAGCAGTATGGGGAGAAAATTGAAGAGACCAAAGTGGTGGAGAAAATTCTACGGTCATTATTACCGAAGTTCGATTATGTGGTGGTGGCCATGGAGGAAGCAAAAGACGTGTAAAAAATGACAGTTGATGAAGTTATCGGTTCACTGCAAGCACGTGAAGAAAGACTAAATAAAAGAGATGAAGAATCGTCAGAACAAGTGTTAGCTACAAAAGCTACCACTGAGGAAAAAGAAGGTGCCCAAGGAGGAGTACAGTACAGAGGTCGAGGCAGAGGCAACTACAGAGGCAGAGGAAGAGGAAGATCCTGAGGAGCATATCAAAGCAGAGATGGAGGAAATTTCACCACGAACAATTATGAAACGTCCACCAGAGGCAGAGGTCGTGGACGTGCAAGAGAAAATTGGAGATCAAATGAAGGTCGTGATAAATCCAACATCCAGTGCTATAATTGCTCAAATTACGGGCATTATGCATCGGAATGTTGGAGTCCGCCTAAAGAAGTGGAGGAGACAGCAAACGACGTGCAAGAAGAAGAAGTCAAAGGCACATTGATGCTGTCACATCAAGAAGATGAAAAATCGAAAGACAACATGTGGTATCTCGATAATGCAACAAGCAACCACATGCGCGGTAAAAGAAGCATGTTCATGGATATGGATGAATCGATGAAAGGAAATGTCGTATTTGGGGATTCCTCAAAGGTTCCGATAAAAGGGAGAGGAACTATACTCAACCGGTTGAAGAATGGCTCATAACAATTTATCAGTGATGTGTACTATGTCCCGGACATGACTAATAACATCCTGAGTTTGGGTCAGCTGATGGAGAAAAATTTTGAAGTCCACATGGTGAATCGTCAATTGGAGCTATTAAACGAGAAGAAGCAGTTGTTGGTCAGAGTCCCAATGTCAAGAAACAGAATGTTTACCCTGAACATTCAGACAGAAATGGCGAAGTGCTTCAAAGCGTGTGTGAATGACAATACATGGCTATGGCATCTGAGGTATGGCCATCTAAATTTTGGAGGACTGAAGTTACTCGGTCAGAAGAAGATGGTGTATGGTCTGCCAGTGATCAATCATCCAGACCAATTGTGTGAAGGATGCTTAGTTGGGAAGGAATTCAGAGCAAGTTTCCCGAAGGAGTCCCTGTCAAGAGCTAAAGCACCGCTTGAGCTTGTACCTGCAGATCTCTATGGACCGATCACCCCAACATCGTTCGGAAAGAACAAATATTTTCTACTGTTCATTGATGACTACAATAGAAAGACATGGGTTTACTTCTTGAAGCAAAAGTCAGATACATTTGAACTTTCAAGAAGTTCAAGATGATGGTGGAGAATGAAAGTGGTCGCTACATCAAAGCAATGATATCAGATAGAGGTGGAGAATTTATGCTAAAGAAGTTCATAAGGTTCTGTGAATATCAAGGAATTCACAGGTTTCTTGCCGTCCCAAGATCCCAACAGCAGAATGGAGTCGTTGAGAGGAAGAACAGAATTGTCCTCAACATGGCGAGAAGCATGATGAAGAGCAAGAACCTGCCAAAGGAGCTATGGGCTGAAGCTGTTGATTGTGCAGTCTATCTGATGAACAGGTCACCAACTAAGAGTGTTTGGAATCAAACACCCCAAGAAGCATGGAGCATAAGGAAACCCACAATCTCTCACCTCCGAGTCTTCGGAAGTGTCGGATATGTGCACGTACCGGATCAAGAAAGAAAGAAGTTGGATAAAAAAAGCAAGAAGTACATATTCCTGGGATACTCAGAACACTCAAAAGGTTACAAAATGTTTGATCCCGTGGAAGAGAAGCTGATCATCAGCAGAGACGTGGTAGTTGATGAAGAAGCAACATGGGACTGGACTGTCGAAGCAAAGAAGAATTACACTTTTTATTCATTTATTATGGATGAAAGTGATGATGAACCAGACACAGCTACACCAGTGACGAGTCCACCAGGTCACAAAGAGCCTGCCAGCCCAGAAGGAAGTTCAAGTGAAAGTCCTAAAGAGAGGCCACAAAGTATAGACGTCTTGAAGAAATTTATGAGGGAACGACAACCATTGAAGGTGATGAATTGACACTCTAATGTCATTTCATTGATGATGAACCAGTTGATGCTCAAGAAGCCATGAATGATGAAAAATGGAAGAAAGCAATGGATGAAGAAATTGGAGCAATTGAGAAGAACAAGACTTGGGAGCTTGTGTCACTTCCTGAGAACCAGAAGCCAATTGGTGTCAAGTGGGTGTTCAAGGCAAAGAAAAATGCTAAAGGAGAAGTCGTCAGACACAAAGCAATATTGGTGGCTAAAGGATATAGTCAGAGACCAGGCATTGACTATAATGAAGTTTTTGCTCCCGTGGCAAGAATGGAGAGTATCAGGATGGTGATATCTCTCGCTGGTCAAAATGGATGAAAGATACATCAGATGGATGTGAAGTCAGCTTTTCTGAATGGATATCTCGAGGAAGATATCTATGTGGAGCAACCCCCTGGATATATCGTTGAAGGTCAAGAAGATAAGGTGCTGAAGCTGAAGAAAGCATTATATGGTCTGAAACAAGCACCAAGAGCTTGGAATAGCAGGATTGACAAGTATTTTCAACAGAACGGGTTCAATAAATGCCCACATGAGCATGCCTTATAGTGCAAGGTGCAAGGGGGGGCAATAATTATGGTTTGTCTATATGTAGACGATCTCGTCTTCATAGGCAACGATCCTAAGATGTTTGAAGAGTTCAATAAGACGATGGTTCGTTAGTTCGAGATGACAGACATCGGACTGATGTCATACTATCTCGGAATTGAAGTGAGTCAAAAAGATGAAGGAATTTTTATCTCACAGAGTGGCTTCGCCAAGGAGGTCCTAAAGAAGTTTAAGATGGAGAATTGTAATCCTGTGAGTACACCAGCTGAGTGTGGACTGAAATTATCAAAGGATGACAAAGGACAGAGGGTTAACTCAACGGAGTTTAGAAGTCTCGTGGAGCTACAGTTAGGTCCTGTCCACTTTCAATTTCGTTTTCTGTTTTTCGTTGTCAAAACAGAAAATTTAAAAACAAAGGGAAAAAAACGTGTTCACTTTGGTTTTCGTTTTCGTTTGTGGCAACCATTTGACAGGAAAAAGAGGCAGCTGACGAAAACAAAAAAAATTGGTTTTCCTGAAATGCCAAGGACGGGTTTTCTCCCGTTTTCTCCGGAAATTTTTAATGAGGTCTGGTCTTCGAGACCTAGCAACCTCATTTTATCTATTTTTTTTTTGTTGTTTTTGTTTTGAAGACTCATTATCCAGCCCCTCTTGGCCTCCTCCCTTCGTAACCCTACTCGACCCTCAGCCTTCACCACTGAACGAAGACAGCAGCAGCTGCTGCCGCCGCTCCTCCCTCTAGATCCGCTCGCCGTCCGTCAGCAGTCTCGGCCGCCGTCGTCTCTCCCGCCCGCTGTCTCGCCCGCGCGCCATCCGCCAGCCGTCTCGCCCGCTCGCCGTTCACGATCGCGCCGCCTCCACACCTCTTCTTCTCCCGACGACGGCAACGACCAAAAACCCTTCTCGTTGCCTTCCGCCATCTCGCCGACCTTGCGTCTCGGCGTCCGCCGTCCGCCGCCACCTCTCTCCTCCGACAAGCGAGATACTCGCCTCTTGACTCGGGTAAGTTCCCTGATTTTACTGCTATGTTTTTTTTTCTCCTGATATAATACTTATAATTACAGGCTTGTAGACATGATACATTCTGCAGTGCTACTGCTACTTCTACTTATTCTACAGATAGTATGGATCCATCCACCTCTGTTAATACTTGAATGCGATGACTGCATTTGCTGTTGAATGGGAGAAGTTGTTTGTTTGTTGATTGTCATTTTGATTGTTTGTTTATTGTCATGTTTGTTCTATAGTTTGACTCATGGAGAATACAGAAGCTGTCAATGATAATGATTGTGTGGTGGTAGAGGGAAAAGATGTATGGCCCGAACATGTTAAGAATTATATGATTGAATTGATGGTCGAGGAAGTGAAGAAGGGTAGCAAGATTACTACTACATTCACAAAATTAGGATGGTTCAATATAAAAAATGGTTTAAAGAGTAAGTTTAACAAGGACTATACCGATGAGCAATTGAAGAACAAATTTAATCTACTTAGAAGAAGGCATAGGGATTTCAAGGGCATGATTAGTGAGACGGGAGTTAGTTTCATTGCTGCAACGGGAAAGGTGTCCGCTTCTGATGATCGTTGGGAGAAATGGACGAAGCAGGTAATTGAACATTTCGTTCAATTTCATTAAATATATGTTTCAATTTTGAACTTAGAATTGATTAGAACGTTCATGTGTAGGCTATAAAAGGTATTACCGGCTTTAGGAAGAATGGTTGTCCAGAATACAACAACTTTTGCATCCTATTTGGTGACACTACTGCTTCTGGTAGCAATGCTTTTGTTTCCACTCAAGAAGTCTCAGATAGCAGTGGTGGACAAAGCAGAGAGGACAATGAGGAAGGTTTTGTTGTTGCTGGTGATGCTACAGAGCATGCCAAGGAAGCAAAGGTCAAAGGCAAGAAGAGGAAAGCAAACAAATCCACCTATTCAACTACGGTAGAGATGGCAATAATTAGCATGGCGGAGGAGGCTAAAAGGAAGAATGATAGGCATGATGCCAAGACTGCTGCATCTTCTGTGAAAGGCCCAATGAATGAAGTATCTTCGCATGACAAGGACCTAGATATTATGACAGAGTGTATGAAGGTTTTAGATGAGATGGAGGTGGATGGTAGTGTGTTTGTCAAGGCTATTGATGTTCTTCATGATAATCCACTGAAGCGTGGTCTCTTTCTGCGCATGACAGAGAAGAGAAAGAAGGAATGGCTGCAAGGTTTGGTGTGATTGTACGATGTCGGCATTGAGTGTTTTTGTTTGAGTGTTTGTGTTTGAGTGTTTGTGGTTGTATTTTTAGTTGAACAATGTTGTTGAGTTGAATATTTGTGTGATTGTGGTTGTATGTTTTAGTTGAACGATTATCTTATTATGGTGTAAGCACAATTTCAATAAAGTTTGATTATAATTTCTTATTGTGCAATGCAGACAAATGGCTTCTGATTCCGATACAGATTCCGATGATGATTTGCAGAACTTCTTGTTGCATTTGTGGTTGTTGGAGACAGAGAGATTCAATGTGTCAAAAGTGCCATGCAGAACCTCAGACAAAACTGGGCATGCTTGGGTTAAAGAGCTTCTTCATGGTAATCCAAGAAGGATATATGAGCAATTTCGGATGGACAAAGATACGTTTCTTGCTCTTTGTGAGGAGTTGAAACAAAATGGTGGGTTAAAAGCCACGAAGAGAGTCACAGTTGAAGAACAAGTTGGCATCTTCCTGAAGACTATAGGTCACGCTAATGATTTTAGAGACATTGCCGAAAGGTTTCAACATTTAACGTCCACCATCTCAAAGTACTTTGACAAAGTATTGAAAGCTGTGGTCAAGCTTTCGAACAAGATTATTGTTCCCCCAAATTTGGATAACGTCCCTGACAAAATTGTTGGTTCTAGACATGATCCATATTTCAAGGTAAAGGAATACTTACTCCATAGTTACTGTTACAACATTTACAACTTCTGTTGATCATGTTCACTTTTGTGTTTACATAGGATTGCATTGGAGCTATAGACGGAGTGCATATTGATGCATGTGTTCCTACTGCTGAACAAATTCCATATCGAGGACGAAAGGCGACAACAACTCAAAATGTGGTGTGTGTATGCTCCTTCGATATGCTTTTTACCTTTGTGGTGGCTGGATGGGAAGGCACGGCAAATGATGCTAGAATTCTTAGTGAAACCGTTTCAAATCCAGATAACAAGTTTTCGATGCCACCACGACGTACTTATTAGTGTTTGTACATAAATAAATCTCATTTTATTATATACTAATTGACTTGCTATATACACTGTAGGTAAGTATTATGTTGTTGACTCCGGATTTGCGAACATGCATGGGTTCCTAGCACCATATCGAATAAAGGAGCCTGCTCATTTTCAAGAAATCAATCGAGGTGGTGGACCCAAAACTCGTAAGCAATTATTCAACTATTATCACTCATCCCTACGCAATGTCATCGAACGTTGCTTCGGAGTTTTGAAGGCCATGTTCCCAATTCTGAAACATATGCCTTCTTCTTCATTAAAGAAACAAGCACAAATTGTTATTGCTACATGTGCTCTACATAACTTTATTAGGATTCACTCTTGTGAAGATATCCTATTTGAAAAATATCAGAATTATTATATGGAGGATGGCGTTAATGGAGTGCAAGGAGGGCTGGAAAGAGAAGAGTACAGTATGAGTTCAAGCCGGACACGGCAAATGGAAATTCGACGTGATGGAATAGCGGACAAGTTGTGGGATGACTTCCAAGCTGGACTCCTTTGACATTTGTGATTGTACTTCGACTTATTTGATATTGAAGTATGTACTAGTATCAGGAAATTTGGCAGATTCTCATTTTCAGGTCTAGTAACCAACTAAACAGGTTTTCATTTTCAGATTACAGTTTCCAGTTTCACAAAAAATCCCAGCTAAACAGGTTTTCAGTATCAGGTTTTCAGGAATCGTTTTTCAGAAAATGGCAGCTTCCATTTCTCCAGATTTCATTTTCAGTTGCCAAAATGACAGAAAACGGAATGGGAAGTGAACAGGACCTTAATATACAGAACCGACCTACCCATCTCACGGTACAAGTAGGCTAGAACAGCTGCTCCCCAACCGTAGCCTCCAGCGCTCCGTCAATTATCCAACAAAAGTAGATAGTGCAAATTAACTATAGCTCCAATACGATCGGGGAACAGCATACACCCCATCAAAGATAGGGCATACGCTCGTGCAAACTGCTCTGTAATCTTAACGATACCCCCGTTAAGATCGTTAGGAGCATGTCCTAATAGTCTGATACACATCTCCTACCACTCCCGATCAGGTACGTCTACTATGACAGCCTTACCGTCGATTGGTAGACCGCTCAGTGTGGCAACGTCCTCAAGAGTGATCGTAACCTCACCAAGCGGCATGTGGAAGGTCGATGTCTTAGGACGCCAACGCTCTACGAGAGCAGTGATCAAAGATGCATCAATACAACCAGTCATAGAGACCAACTGCTGAACGCTGAACAAACCGACATCCTGGAGATACAGCTCATAACGTGAATGGTACGTGACCAAATGGGTCGTACCTCAAGTGTGGTAAACGCGATCACCAACCTATAATGCACAAAACTTATATTAATTTAATTTCATGGTGTAATTCTGTTTTCAATTTCCCATTTTCCATAAAAAGGAATATTTTCAAGTTCCCTTACCTCAAAGACAAAAAGCAAGCCGCCTGAAACAATAAGAGTGGAAGAAACATCATCACTAACTCATTACATGCCAATATCACTGTTAATTGCCCAAAAGAACTAAACAAATAGAGAAATATAATCAATTAGTGAAATGAGTAATGCTCTGTCCCCTCTCTTCCCATTAATCACTTGCTTATAAAAATTAGGGTAAATACAATTTAATAGCCAAACCTTTCATTTAACAAAATAATAGTCAAATCTTTTCAAAAATAATTTGATAGGCAAATCGTTAATTTTCTATCTCGTCAACTATTAATTCACTATGACATGACCACTTTTGATCCGTAAAATGTTTGACCAGGGTATCCGGGTAACGATCAGTTGGGCCTGGGAACACAGAGCTCTGTCCAATCTCTCTCGGATACAAGTCATACCCATTCGCTTGTTCGTCCATGTGAATTGATCCCCCTGGTACCTAGGGTCATGAAGACCCAGGGTATGAATAAAGTCACACAGACTATGGGCATGCGCAGCATTCCACGGATTTCTGTCATCTTTTTCACTCTCATGAAGAGTAGTGTTAAAAATCGCCGATGACCACATAGGGGAGTTGGATCTCTACAACTATGTCTTGGAGTTGAGCTAATTGGGAAGCTCTTATTGCAACATTACAACTAATCTAAACACAAAACACCACATAAGAAAGTCCACTCATTAATTTGGCAAAACATGCTTAACTTTGGTCGGTCAAACTAATACGGCTGCAACAATAAAACAATAAATGAATACCAATCCATTAAAAAAACACTACCGTTGCACAAAACACCAATACCATTGCATATTTAATCATACCAACGCGACAAAATCAATACCAATGCGACTAAAACAATACCAATTCGGTAAAATCAATAACAATATGAGAAAAACAATACCAATGCGAAAAAATAAAAAACTATACAATACCATTTCATAAAACAAAACAATGAACCAGTAGAAAAAAAAACATATCTAGATTGTATGTTCTCCTAGTATACAAGGGATAGATTGAGAGAGAGAGAGAGAGAGAGAGAGAGAGAGAGAGAGAGAGAGAGAGAGAGAGAGAGAGAGAGAGAGAGAGAGAGGCGTGTGAGGGAGGAAGGCGGTGGAGGAGTTGGTGGTCGGCAGGAGGCCACTAAGAGAGAGAGTTTGCGAGGGAGGGGAGGAGGGTGACGGTGGGACGGGTGGCTGGCAGCGGCTGTGCAGGGAGTGAGGGCTGATGGAGAATCAGGTTGCATTAGGGTTTGTGTATAATATATAAAAATTAATTTTTTAAAGGATAGAAAACTGGTGTGGTATTTTTTTAATTCTCAAAATTACTCTTAATTCAATCTTCCCATCAATATAAAAATTGGATGAAATAAAATAATTAATGGTGCTGATTTTGGTAGCTACCGTTAGTTAATCAAAATTGAGTAACCACGCTAACACATTTTCCCTCCTGCACATGCATGCATCTCTTTGTATGTGTGTTCTGTTTTTGTGTATTTAATTGGTAACTTCCGAGGATGATCAGTTGCCAATTAATTAATAAACGGTGTATTTTTACTCTTCCTTATGTGTATTGTATGAAGTTCAGGAAGGCGCTAGGCGGATGCTGGGAAGAGTTAGTCGCTCAAAGAAAAAAAATAGCAATTTGTATTTTAAGTTAAATGATTAATAGGTTACTCAACACATATAAAAGAAATATGAAAATTCATAAAATCATAACTCAATAACTCAATAATACTCCATAAAGCATTATACATTAAAGTAAGTATTGGGTAAAAAAACAATGGGGGAGCTCTCCCCTCTCTCATCTTCTTCTAGCGAGAGATTGGCCGAATACTATTTTCGGTTTTGACGGCGGTGCTCGTCGCTTGCTTACAGAACCAGAATAGTGTATGGAATCAAGAGACCAATGATAACCAGTCTCTTCATGACCATAACGTACAGAGGTTGTTACGTTACGTCGAGTTCCAGGATGACGCAATGTCCCGAAATAGTGGCTCTAGTAAGGACCACGCTGGGAAGCTCTGCTCACCTACGATGAGAAATGGAAAAGGAAGCTAAGTTCGGGTCTATCCTGACAGCAAATGAATTAGGATTTTCCGGTGACCGGCCGTTGAAAGTAGATGTGTGGCGTTTTAAGCTTTCCTCATCGACGGAGTCAAAATTGACGAAGCGGTGATTGTTAGGGATGGCAATGGGTCGGGTTGGGTCGGGTTTTGCCAAACCCAAACCCAAACACATGAGTTTATCCGTGAAAAAAATCCGGGGTAAAACCCACTGGGTTTGAAAAACTCAAACCCAACCCAACCCGCTGGGTATCCGCGGGTTCATGGGTACCCACGGGTTTTTGTCGTGCAAAATTTACAATAACAAATTCCTATCAAAATTAAAAGTCAAATATCAATCTCTCAATACAAATTATCCATATACAAAACACCATTCTAGAAAATTCAAGCAAATCACAAATTAACTATACAAATTGTTCAACACCAATCTAGAAAATTCAAAAAAATTGAAGCAAATCACAAATTATCCATAATAACATGATTAATTGAAAGCTTCTTCCTTTCAATTAAGTTTCTTCACTCTCCACTCGATAACATCAACTTCATTCTAAACAATTAGAAAGAAAAAATTAGACATGTCTCCACAAACATAAATAAAATTAGTTGTTTAGAATATTAAATATATCAAGAAAAATTAATTATATTGGTGTGGGCGGGTACCCATGGGTCGGGTTTACCTACACCCAAACCCAACCCGGTGAATAGTGAACGGGTTTAAACCCAAACCCGGCCCAAAACCCGTCAACACGGATTTTACCCGCGTTGACCGGGTTGGGTCGGGTGGGTACCCGTGGGTTCGGGTTTTGTTGCCATCCCTAGTGATTGTGTTTAATCTACCACTCGTTAAAACTTAATTGGAAGACGATGGTCGGTTGATTTCTAATCATCAACCAGTCGTTACTACTGGTTTCAAGTGGTGGATAATTTCTATCCTCCATAACTAGAGGTGGCAATTGGATCGGATTCGTGGATTCGTGGATTGGATTCGTGGATCCATGGATCAAATGGATTGGATCCAATGGATTGGTGGATTCATGGATTGGATCCAATGGATTGGTGGATTGATCCATGAATCCAAATAGCATCCAAGGCTTGGACCAAAATGTAAATTTTGAAAAGTTTAGGTACTAAAATGTCATAATGAAAAATTTTATGTACCAAAATGTAATTTTCCAATGATATTTTTCGTATAAAAATATAAATTTTAGGTACCAAAATGTAAAATATAAAAAATATAGGTACCAAATTGTAATTTGCCATTTGGATCCATGGATTGATCCATGAATCCACCAATCCAATTGGATTTGGATCAAATGGATTGGATTTAAATGGATTGGATTAGGTGGATAATTTGGTGGATGGATTGGATTGGATTCATGGATTTGGATCCTAATTGCCACCTCTATCCATAACCAAGCTTCGGAAAGGCATACGTTCCTGAAGACAGAGGTTAAAAACTGGCCAGAATCTGGCCTTGCTCCTAACGACCAAATTGTTGTTGGCTTACGTCATCGTTCCGATGGAAATTTCCAGTCTGGTTTCCTTGCGGAGAATATTTATCCTAGATACCCTACCAAATTTGTAGGGATCTTTTTCTGTTAATAACCTCCAAGGGTTATTATTTTTTAATCCTCGGATTAGGAGTGCTTCTCGTGGTAATCCCAAACGAATCCTCAGTCCTAAGGGAATACGTAACCTAGCTAGGGGAAAGCCGAGGTTTCCTTCCATATAAACTGACCGGCCAGTGACACAAACATCAGTGGCCTTGCCTGGCGAACCACTAAAAGACTCTAGTTGCTCGTTATATATTCCCAGAAAAATATGATGTCACATGTTTCTACGGATCAGCTGGTGCAATTCTCCTTGGAAGAGGTGCAAGCAAGCAACGAAGTATCGTAGCTCTCATAAACTGCTCGGCCGCGTGGTCACTGAAAGCAGGGTAATGGCTTCGGAGCTGAAGGATTCGGTGATCACAACGTGGCAGATTAAGGGCGGGATGAAAGTGGAGATGACAAAATACGGATTATTTGAATACGTTCTTCCTAATGAGGAGTCAAGGGTGTGGGTATTAAAGCGGACACCGTGAGTGATCAAAGACAAAATACTCCACTTTCTAGCTTGGACTCCCAATATCGTGAAGAGAAGGTTTGATGATTTGGCCATACTTCCTTTCCGTATCCAGTTATGGGAGGTGAAAGAAGATTGTTGGACTCAGAAATTTGGTAGGAAAGTGGCCAATGTCACCATTGGTAAAGTCCTGGAATCTGGAGTTTTTATCTGTCGTGACACAAATCAATGGTTTGTGATAGTCAGAGCTCTAACTGACTTCACTAAACCCTTGAGGTTCCCGGTAATGACATCTAGTGATGAAACAAGATGCTTTTGGGTCAGCCTGAAGTACGAGTAACTCCCAACCTTTTGCTATCAATGTGGATGGGTGGGTCACTTACTCTGGGATTGTACCTTTGAGCCTCCAACAAGGAAGGAACGGTTCGGTCCTCACATGACAACCAAGAAGTTGGGGATGAGGATGAGGATGTATGATATGGAAGACAACACCAATACATATCGAGGTGTGGTGAACTCAGTATGGATGAGCAAGGAGGTCCGGGACCATAGGGACTCGAAGGGAGGAACT